TGGCTCCCGGGAGGCCGCCGGCTGGGCCAGCTTGCTCCTAGGGAGCCTGGTAGCATCAGGAGGAATAGAAATACCGCTTCCCTTGAGGGGACGATAGTAGTGGGGAGTTACTATTTAATTATTGTAGTCAGTATTATTTAAAAAATAGTAGATACTTTGCGTTTTTCTAAATCATCTGCTTTTTGGTCAGATGAGGCAAGCGGCAGTAGGAGCCGTGGAGGTGAGGTGAGTGGTGGAGGGAATCAGCCCTGGTGTGAAGGAGCGTGGGGTGGCTGATACGTCATCCCAGATGTTTTAGGGCAAGGTTTGTTTTAAAGATTTGTCATGGCAGACACAGTGCCTGAGTGACCCAGCAGCCGAGTCCTGTCTAGGTAGTTATGTTTAAGTAAGCTGATGTTTCCCAGCTGTTTGGTGCTGCTGCTTAATTAAATGTGCAAATACTATCTAGCAGTGGAAAAAATGAGCATGTAGACCCACTGACAGGTAAGAAGTCCCTTTGCTTGATGCCTTTTTGCAGAAGACTGTATTCAACAAGTGTATTTTAGCATCTGTTGGAATAAAATGAATGTTACAACATTCTTTGTATAATTTTTTATTTTTATCACTTCCACGCAATAATCATGCAATAATATTTGTATTTCTTGCAGGGCCTGTGGAAAGAAAGGTGCTTGTGAATCTTCAGAAGTTAGATGTGGCTCAGGATAGTCTGGGAAACTATGGTTTCTTCACTTTGGTTTACAATCAAGGCTTTGAAATTGTGATAAATGACTACAAGTGGTTTGCATTTTTTAAGGTGAGTTAACTTGGTGTCTTCTGCATCACTGACTGTACTTAAAATGGCCTGTAGCTGGGCTTTTCTTTAGTCCCCGAGTGCCGCGGTGAGGCAGTTGGGACACTTGGTTATCTTTGGCTCTGAGGGTTGCCTGGGTTACCAGATACAGGACACTCTTTTCTTGTTTTGTTTTTTTTTGTTTGTTTTGTTTTTTTGTTTTGTTTTGTTTTTTTAATGTAAGGAAACAAGTTATCAGTGGCTGGGTAGGGAGCAGGGGGAGGGAAGTGGTATTTATATTCCACGCTGGGCATTATCTGAAAAATCTGTTACAGATGTTGCTGTTTTCCCTTCTGGGCATGCTTAAAGCAGTTGGAGGTCTTCACTAAGCTAACTCTCCCAGTGGCCTAGAACGTTAGGGGTTTTTTTTTTTCCAGTTTTCTTGCTGACACCTTGGACCCAAGTGAAATAGCAAACATCATTGCTTTTATCTTTCCTTAAAGATGTTCTCAAATGCATGAAAACTTTAGAAAGGCCATCTGCTCTCCTTGCTGGAGGATTTCTAGGATCTTTAAATTTTATTCCAGAATACTACTGTAACATCTAAGGAACCTTCCTGCTGCCTGTAATTGTTTTGGAATAATTCTATTATCTCCAGTCCCTGTTAATGACTTCAGATGAAGCTGAAAACAGTGCTGGTAGGCAGGGGATAGACAGAAGACCCATTTGCTAAGGAGCACTCTGCTGCTGTCCTGATGAGTGACACTATGAATCTGGAGGGTGGCTTGAAGCAATCTCTGCAGGATAACTTTGCTACCTGGGAGACAGATGTTTTGTGCAGCAAGACTGCTCAGATGGTGCATGCAGTCCTCGGCAGGAGTAGTGAACACATTTCTTGGTTGTTTCAGAAAGCATGATCTTGTGTCTGGCTTCAGATGAGCCAATAGTAAACACCCAGGCCTTGTCCAAGCATAAAAATCTCTGAACATTGGCTGGTAGTAAGGAGGATGAAGAAATGACTTTTGCTTTAAATTGTCTTTCTGGGAGCCATTGTAGATGGTTTATTTCACAGCAGCTATTTTCAAGTCAGTGTTTTCAGATTTGTTAACAAAAGTGAGTGATCCATTCTTCCAGGAGAACTGTAATCCTTACTGAATAGAAATGATGTATGAGGCTCCAATTTAACTACAGCTTCCTCCATGCCGATTGGAGCTCGCTTAGGTTAAGGGAAAGA